TTCTGTACTCTTAACATTCTCACTTAGCAGGGTTTCATGTATAATAATGCCCTAAGTGTTATCAGAAATAATTTAGGATTGAGGGTATAAAGAAAAAGAGAGACAACTGTTTTAATTTTTATTATTATTAGTGAGTTTGAGCATTACTGTATTTATTGACATTTTGTCTTTCTTATCTACACTATCTGTGCTTATCTACCGTTAACGTTTGGTTTCCTTTTACTTTTCATCTTAATTGCAGAAACCTTTATATTATGGACATTAAATTGTTTAAATATTTTTCAAATAATTTTCATTTTATTAAAAGATCACTGATTAGTGATCAAGGAAGTGAATGATAAGAAATATAAAAACTGATATTTAATGTATAATGTATTCAGTTTATAGTAGGCACAGATTCCCAGACCACTATAGCATCACAGAAGGGTGGTGTCTGGCTATGTGGAGGCAAGCAAAAGCTACCTGCATTAGGTGAGACTTGAGCTGCACTTTAAAATATGACTCGAAATCATCAGGTTGATGAAGAATTGTTCTGGGAAAAGGATATGCTAATTCAAATAGAAAAGAGCACCATCTAGTCTGCAAAGTATAAGTACTTCACTTTGCTGAAGGAAAAAAGTCTACATAGTAAGTCATGAGATGGGGCTACAGAAATGGAGGTTGTGCCAGCTTTCTTATCACTATGACCAGAATACTTAACAAGAGCAACTGAGAGGAGGAAACGTTTATTGGGTACACATGATTTTAGAGGTCTCAGTCCCTAGACAGCCAACTCCATTTCTCTAGGCCCGAGGTGAGCACATCATGCAGAAGGGACCAGTGGATGAAAGGTGCTCAGCTTATGGTGGGGTCAAGAAGCAGAGAAACAGGGGCTGGGGTTGGGGCTCAGTGGTAGAGCACTCGCCTCGCACATGTGAAGCATTGGGTTTGATCCTCAGCACCACATAAAAATAAATAAATAAAAATAAAGGTTAAAAAAAAAAGCAGAGAAACAGGGAGAGAGAGGAAGGGACCACAGGAAGAGCAAGCCTTTCAGGGCACATCCTGGTGACCCACTTCCTCCAGCCACGCCCCACCTGCCTACAGTTACCACCCAGTCAGTCCATTCAAACTTGGATGGATTGATCAGGTTGCTGCTTTCACAATCCAATCATTTCACCTCTGAATATCCCTGCATTAATACAGGAGTTTTAGGGGAACACCTCATATCCAAACTGAAACAGATGAAAGAGGGCTAATTTATGAAAAGTTTGGTGTGTTCGGATGAGGCATTTGAACTGTATGCTGAGAACCTGGATATATCCGGATTTGGATTTCAGGAAGACTATTTTCATAGAAGTCTGAAAAATAGCCCAGAAAGAGTCAGTCTGTAGGTAGGAAGACTAGTTGTGCCTATTTGAGAGAGACATTCATTTTTTTCAATGTCACACGATCTTCAAAAAGGCAAAATGAGATCTTTCAAATTTTCCCTATAATAAGAATTAAGTTAAATCTGTGAGAATATATACCCAGGGTGTGGGAATGACTGGGGTTGAGGGGACTTTTTTGTTTTCTTCTGTAAACAGTTCTGTATCATTTGAGTTTTATTTTTCAAATCAAGCACAAGCTTTTATCAGTGGACTAGTCCAAGGGGATTGAAGGGAAGGGAGGACGGATGGGACAAGGGAAGAACAGTGGAAGGAATCTGACCTAAGTTTCCTGTGTACATATATGAATATACCCCAGTGACTCTCACCGTCATGTATAGCCACCAGACACTAATTAAAAAAAAAAAGGTAAGTAAATAGCAGGAAGATCAGTAGAGTAGAGGGAAGAGAACAGGGTGAGGGAGGATGGGAGGAAGGACTGGGGACTGAATTAGAACAAATTTTATTCCATGCTTTTATAATTGTACCAAAATGAATCCTAATGTCATATAAGCTAAAAATGACCAATAAAAAGAAAGAAAGAAAAAAGTCACCTCTGGAAGTCATTTGTGCAGAATAATAAGAACTTCCTGTAAGGGTGAAATAACATTTGTAGTTGGAATCGAGACTTACCTTTCAGGCGTTCTGATTGTTAAGGTTAGCTTTCTGGGGTAGGGTCATACTCTTCTTTGCTATAGGTGTCTAAATAGCTGTCATAATGGGAAGGGGCAGTTCGAAGTTAGAAACCTGCATGGTGAATACTCTACAGTATTTCTGAAAATTCATTTCTTGCTTCCTGCTTTTAGAACGTGTAATGTAATATTTTATCTTCACTCAACTTAGCAAGCAAATGGATGATGACATTGATGTTCCACTTCTAAGTCCCAATACATATTTTATTTAACGATCCAGTCAATGCTAAGAAAGATTGTAATTAATCACTGCCGGTTTTTAATGTGTAAATTTTCAATTGGACTTCACCCCAATTTTAAAAATAAACAAAATAAATTCTATTTACCTAAAAAAAGCATTGGCTTTTAGAATGAAACAATTTATATCTTTTTTTTTTTTTAAACTGCACCAATAACAGATGGGAATGATCTGAACTAGGAGTTTGTTTGAAAAGTATTTAGGGCTTTGGTGGACCACAAAATCAATTAGAACCCTGATTCTAACATGTCTGCTAAAGTTGGTCTAATAATAGTTGGTATCATTAGTAGTGTTTTGTAGTATCCTAATACTTTGGATTTGGACCTGCTTGGCTTGGTCAGATTGACCTGGAAATTGTGTTCACTTTGGAGTCCTCAGTTAAGATGATCAGCTTGAAGCATATTCAGGAGAAGCAAACCATTTGGGAAATGATTTAAAGTCAAGTTAGATAAGAAACTATTAAAGAACAGGGCAACTCAAGTATGTCTCAAATCGTCACATTGCACAACTTGAACTGGTACAATTTTATGTATTGATTATACCTCAGTAAAGCTGGGCAGGGGGATAAAAGGGGGGATGTTATGCTTGGAGGAAGTCAGACAAGATGCATGACTTTATAATACATTATGCCAAAGAGAAATGATGCATGTTCATTAAACCCTGGACAGAAATAGGAATGGGAACAGATTTTGAAAAGAAACAACTAGAATGGGTGTCCATTTTTCATACCTAAAAACTGGGTACTTCTGATGTATTTACCAGCTTATATACTGCCAAAAATTTGCAGTATTCCATTCTTAAATTGATAGGATGATTGGTTAGACCATCAGAGTCCATAAAGTGCAACTGTGTTTATTTCTATTTTTATCAATGAGTCTGCATGCATTTTCTTTCTTGTTAAACAAAACCAACAGGTTTATTTCCAAAGTTGGTTCCATTGTATCTATTTTCTTGCTTTCAAACCAGTTACATATTTAATTATTGCAATATTAAATAATTAGTCTTCTCAATTTCTGAATCTCTCCCCAACTTAACCATAAATACCTCTTCCTCTCACACGCAATAGTCATAAGCCTCAAATATCACTCTTTCCCTCATGGTTTTAACACTTATTGAAGTTTCCTTACACACAGTTCTTGTATTATATCTTCTCACCAGCAAAGAGTAGAATCAGTTGAAAAACAGAACTGCCCCAATTGGCATTGAGTCTGGGAATGCCTGGAAGATTCATTTCAGTTTTCTCCTGAGGTTTAGTGCCCTGGCACCTGGGCAGGTTGTAACTACCCGCTACCCATGTTAGCCCCACCTGAGGACACATCAGACTGAGCTGGTGATGTGATCGTCAGGCCTGATTTTATGTTCTTCTGGTTGAGTTGACATGCTTCCAAAATGTCTAATGTTTAAGCCCAGGGGGAATACTGTTCTCTTGACAGAATCTGTAGCATCATTTTTCAAATATGTACAAGTTCTTTGGTTATAAAACTGGTGTATCAATTCAGTTTCTCTAGAAAGATAGAACCAATAGAATGGGTGTGTTTGAGTATGTGTGCATATGCGTGTGCGTGGATATACACACATGTCGATGGCCGTTTACATGTGATAAATACATATACACATCTATGAGGAGATTTCTTGTAAGGAATTGCATTGCGCAATTATGGAGACTGACATTTCCCAAGATCCGCAGGGTAAGTTAGAAAGCTAAGCCAAAGAAAGTCAATGGTTTATTGCATACTGAAGACCAGCAGGCTTGAGACCCAGGAAGAACTAATGTTTCATCAGAGTCTGAAGGCAGGAAAAAACTAACCAGTATTCCATTTTGAAGACAGTCAGACAGGAGGAATTCCCTCTTAATTATAAAGTGGTAAGTTTTTATTTTCAATTCAGGACTTCAACTGATTGGATAAAGCCCACCTATGTTAGGGATAACAGTCTACTGTATTCACTCTGAGAAGTCAAGTAATATCATACAAAAATATGGAATCAACCTAGGTGCCCTTCAACAGATGAATGGATAAGTAAAATATGATATATATACACGATAGAATATTACTCAGCCATAAAGAAAGATGAAATTATGGCTGGTACGTGGATGGAACTGGAGACTATCATGCTAAGTGAAATAAGCCAGTCACAAGAAACTAAAAGCTGAATACTCTCATCTGATATGTGGATGCTAACATACAATAAGGAGGTAGGGAGGGAAGAATAGAAGTTTACTGGATTAGACAAAGGGGAATGAAGGGAAGGGAGAGAGGATGGGAATAGAAAAGATAATAGAATGAATCAAACATAACTTTTCCACGTTTATATATAAATACACAACAGTGAAATGCCACATCATGTGCAACCGCAAGAATGGGATCCTAGTTAGAATAAGTCATACTCCATATATATATGTGTGTGTGTGTGTGTGTGTGTGTGTGTGTTAAAATATACTCTACTTCCATGTATATCTAAAAGGAGCACATTTTTAAAAAGAGAAAAAATTACTCTCAGAGTCACACTCAGAATAATGTTTGATCAAATATCTGGGCACCCCATAATCCAATCAAGTTGGTGCATAAAATTAAATAGCACAGCAGACTTAACAGATTAGGTGTTATAACTATCAGTATTTATTGCATATTAACTACTTATTAATTATTTCTTGTCCCCATCCAGGGATTATTTACTTAACATCATCTCTTAGTCATTTGGAACCGACTACTCTTTTTTTGATGGCCTGTGCCCAAGATGGTGGTGGGCTTACAGCTGCAGTTAATGCTGACATCACCATACACATCCTCCAGACAGCTCTGGCACCTGCAGAATTTGAAAGGCCTAAGTACACATTCTCAGTTTATGAAGATGTGCCTGAAGACAGTCCTGTTGGAACAGTGAAAGCCAGAGAGTCCTTGAGTAAGTACTGCTGCTGCATTAAAAGTCCATGATTGAAAATCTTGCTGTATTTTCTTGGGTTGTCCAATCTTGAAGAATGCTTTCCTTCTCTCCAGGCAAGATGAACTGAGGCAGCACAAGGTGTGGCTTGCTCTGCGTTCTCTCAACATTGTTTCTATCCATCCTACAATTCTCTTAATAATAACAACAGAAATAGGTATTTTCAAAAGAAAACAGTACAGAATATTTATGTAGAAAGTGTATATGTCCTCCCCGAAAACACACACTTAAAAAAAAATATTTCTTACAAAAATCCATTCCATTCTGTTATACTTTTTATCACTTTAGTATAAAAAGGGCAGCTTTCCAGGAAAACTACATCATCTGGCTCATTAAATAAGTCACATAGTATTTCAACTTAGATGTGTTTCCTTTAAACATTGCCTTTTTGCTGTCTATTTGAATATTTTGAAATTTTGGTAGTCCAAATACCATGTGAGCAAATATTCTTTCATAACTCCATTTTACACAGACAGAATGAAATCCTAAAAGGGAATTATGTCTCCAAAAAGCTTGCCTTCCTCCTGGTCCCTTCCTTTCCTTTCTTCTCTCCTTCTCCTCCATCTTCTGTGGGGGTTATGGCCCAGGCCTGGGAAGACATCATACAGAAACATCAACAGAAACTTAACTTGGCTTCCTTAAATATAGAGAAGATGGTATGCAAATTATTTTCTGAATATCTTTTCTTTTTACCTAATGCAAAAAGATGAAGAAAGATAGTAAAGCCTGCAGCTTGCTCTTTGTTCTCTGGATGTCTGCTTTGCTCACAAAACAAAACAAAACAAAACAAAAAACCCTTAATCTATGCACCCCCTTTTCAACATGCTTGAGAAGTAGAGGAAGAAAACAGACAGACATTCCACAGTGCTCAGGGTCTATGCAGCATATGTTAATATTTCAGCATTTCCAGCACCTGCATTCCTGTGGCATATAATGATTGCATATCCTCCCTTTTCAGATTCCTCAGAACCAATCTTCTACAGGATTTCCTCTGGCAACCTGGACGGAAAGTTCTCCATTCACCCTTGGCTGGGCACTCTTCGCACCCAGAAGCCTTTAGATCACGAAACGCAGCCCGTGGCTGTCCTCACGGTCCAGGCGCAGCTTGGCAGCTCCCTGGTCTGCAGCAGCACGGAAGTCAACATCACCATAGTGGACGTCAATGACAACCACCCCGAGTTCCTCACAGCCTCTGATGAGATCAGGATATCGCAGACCACCCCGGCTGGCACGGCCGTGTACGTTGCACGTGCAGAAGACAAAGACAGCGGGCTGAACGGGCTCATACGATACAGCATTGCCAGCCAGAACCCAGGCATCTTCACCATCGACCGAGGGCTGGGGGTGGTGTACCTCCGTGGGAGCCTGGGAGGGGAGGTCCTGCAGAAACACACCCTGACCCTCGTGGCAGAGGACCATGGCGCCCCTCCCCGGGCCTCCCTGTTGATGCTGACGATAGTCATCGAGAAACCAGAACAAACCCCAGCCTTGACTTTTGAAAACTTGGTTTATCAAGTGGAAGTCAGTGAATCTCTCTCGCTGACGACACAAATACTGCGAATACAGGCGCACCCCCAGCACACAACCTCGCAGACGATGTACTCACTGGAGGCCAGTGTAGACGCTGCTGCGTTCGGCGTCCACCCCTACACGGGTTGGATGTATCTGCGGCGACAGCTCGACTATGAATCCACACGAACATACCGCTTTAGAGTGTTCGCCGGGATCCCGGAGGACAGATCCTTGCAAAATGTGAGCGCTTCAGTCATTGTTCATGTCCTGGATGAGAACGACAATTCCCCGACCTTCTCGCGTGATGTGTTGTTTTTGAAAGTTGAAGAGAACCCTATTCCCCCAGGGGTAATAGGCAAAATTACAGCCATTGACCCAGACTCTGGAAAGAATGGACAGCTATCCTATTTTCTTTTGTCTGATGGAAAATTCTTCGGGATAAATCCTAATACAGGTAGCATTTTGTAGCTTCCAGTTACTCCTTTAAAGTTAGGATTGAGAAAAAAAAATTTTTTTAGTTATAGCATTAGTATGAACATTCAGATAAAATGAGTTTTTAGTAGATGAAGTATCTGATTATAGTATTGTGTAACTTTAAAATGAAGTTAAAACCGAAAAGAATTTCACCTCTAATGATTCATCCTTCTCTTGGTTCTGCTCATATATTGCCAATACCATCATGTGCCATATAATGACACTTTGGTCAACAGGGAGCTGCATAGATAACAGTTGTCCCATAAAATTATAATGGAACTGAAAAATTCCTATTGCCTATAACTTGTACTGTACTTTTTCTATGTTTAAATATATTTAGATGCACAGATTCTGACTATTCTGTTACAGTCACCTGCAATATTCAATAGGGTCATATGTTCCACAAGTTTGTAGCCTTGGAGCAATAGGCTATGCCATATAGCGTCTATCGTCTATGCTTCTGTAAGCACATTTCTGATGTTTGCACAGTAAAGAAATCAGCTAGGGACACATTTCTTAGAACATATCCCCGTCATTAAGGGGTGCATGACTATATAAGCTTCTTACACTGAATGAGAGGTATAGTCAGAATTGGATTAAATAAATCCTGGGAAAGGTTTGTTTTCTTTGCCAACCAGTTTTTTTTTTAATTGCAGATTTTTTTTTAATCACTCCGGCATACATTGTAAAATATAAATGTCACCAACACAAAGCTAGAAAGTAATCCATTAGCTGAGATTTTAAAATCACCCCAGGGATGCACGCATGTCCCCATTCTCATTTTGTTAAGGGAACCGGGGGGGAAAGGGGGAATAATTACAGTGGCATAATTATTTTTTTGAAGTCTTAATTTAAAAATTAAATATAAAACATTATATTTAAAAATTTATGCTGTATGAATTTACAAGGACTTTAATCTCTGCAACAAGATGTGTTTATTCTGCAAATACAGAGCTGGGAAAACTGAGAATGAGATAGCTGTGGGAAGGTCAAAGAGCTAGTCAGAGGTTAGAGGAAGCCACCAATAGTAGAAGGCTTGAAATAGGTCACATCCTGGCTAATATTGCCCCTACCCTTTAGTGGGACAGAATTTGAATTCAGTTCTAGTTAGCTTCTAGACTTTGTTCTTCATTCCCCATGTGTGAAATGGGAGAAGATGCTTCTTCCTTCTGTAGGTGGAGCCTCTCATCAGCACAAGTGGCTTCTAGGAAGGGTGCAGACTGGATTTCAACTCCCAGTCACTTTGTAAACTGGTGTGCCTTCTGGAGGGCATGGGCTGCACAGATGTGTGGGAGAGTCCTGCTGCCGCTTCATTCCATATGTCTGTTCGTTTCCAGATCTTCTGTTTCACTTGGTAATTTTTTTTTAAAAAATATGCAAACTACGGCAGGTTACCCCATGATTTTCTTTCTTCTATAATTATTCAGTACCCAGATTCAGAAGACCTAGTGTTCCGTCATGATTTTGTTCATATCAGAGCTCAGTGCCCTTGCCATGGATAGAGGAGATAATTCCTAACATGTGTCACGTTGTGCTCTGAGGTTGTCAAAGAGATGAAGTACATGAAGGGGATTGAAATCCAATGTCCTGATAAGCTGTTCTCATTTGCCAGGGACAGTGTGGCAAGGCAGGGCTGGAGGGCATCCTTCAGAGCGGGCAGGCCACCATGTCTCCTCATCCTGGTATGCTGAGCAGTCTTCTTACTGACGTGGATGCCAGTTCCCATTGAACCCTGACTTGGCATCACCAGTGCCAGCCCCAGGCTGTGGCTCAAAGTCCTTTTACCTATTTTTTGAGAGAGGATCTCACTAAGTTGCTTAGGGTCTTGCTAATAGACCTCTAAATAGCTGATATATGTCCATCAGAGTTGGTTCATAAAATAAAAAATCTGTTTGTCATTCAGGATTTGGGGTTTTTCAAAGAATTACAAATTGGAACTTTAAAATACAGTGATGATGTGATTTTTTTATTAAAATTACATTTATGGTAAACACTCTTTAAATAGTTTATAAAGTAAATAGTAGCAGTAAACTCTGCATTTTAGCTCACCAATCCAGAGACTTATCCAAATATGAATTTTATCCTTGTTTCAGCTTTTTTAATACAATGGTATTTTATTTGAATTAAGAGGAGAATATCTTAGCAATGAGAATGTTGGTTGATAGTTGCTTCATGTTTACTTTCTCACAAGTAGATTTCTTGAAAGACCTTAGAAAACTAGTGCTTTGCTGAGCTCCACAGCAGGAGATGGGCTATTGGAGAGAACTTGGCTTCCAAAGGCCCTTGGCAATATGAAGAGGCAGTTACAATTTTGTGCCTCAGTCTCCATGGCTAAACCATGTAGGAGTTTACGAAATATAGCATAGTTGTAGGCAAAAATATATAAAATAAGGCTTATAAAGCATTAATTGCTCTTTGGGAAGTCACTACCCATTGCTACACATATGCTTTGTGGGAAAAAAATAAATACTTGTATACATGAATGAAAAACCATTGCCTAAAGAATATGATTTTCAGGAAAATGTTTGCCATCATTTTAAAGTAATGATAACAACTGCCGAGAGTGTGATAATTCACAGCTTATGAAATGCTTTTTCTTATGAAACAATTGCATTTGTTTCAGAGAGCAGCCCCAGGAGGTAGGCTCAGAGACCATGTTAGGTGGGGAACCTTGGACCCAAAGCCAGAACTTATATCATAGCTCACATGCTTTCCATTGTTCTGTGTGGCAGCCTATAATAAGCAGTTATTTTAAATTTTCCAATCATTTTTTTTGTGTGTGAATTCATAGTTTCTTAGTTCAAAGGGTTGATGGCAGATAATTTGAAATACAAAGAGTGACCAAGAAAGTAGCATTTTCGGGAGCTACTTCAGGAAATTCTTCCGACAGTAGCATGAGCCAAACTAAGTATGTGGTCTTGGGAGTTGTACTTCTGCTCAAAGCTTCATCTTTGATTTTCCTTCTCTGGATTATTTTGGGTATGGTCTGTGACACTAGTGTCCTTGTCCTTTGCTCTGCCCTGTATTCTTCAGGAGAATTGATCGGCTGGTTGGCATTGGATCGTGAGCATCAGATGCACCATCAAATGACTGTGCTGGTGACGGACCACGGCTCCCCACCACGAAATGCCACCATGGTGGTTTATATCACAGTTACCGACATCAATGACAACAGGCCATTTTTCCCACAGTGTCTCCCTGGAAAGGAACTTCACATCAAGGTTTGTGAAGTAGCCTTGCCGTGGATTTTTTAGTCATTTGTTTTGAGCACCATCTTGTGGTAATTCATGTGAATTTATCAAACTGGCCTTGGTGGGGCATTGCATAGATTTCTAGATAGAAATTGTAAATATGTGGGGTTTTTTTTTCTTAAAAAAGGGCATTTAGAAAAAAGAGAATAGATATTTATGCTCTTTGGAATCACCTCCAGTTGTTGTATAAGGAGGAATGTATTCCTGCCCTTTGCATACAGATATGATTACCTCGGTTCCAGTAATGCTCACACATGGATTATTTAACCACTAGTTTGCTTGCATCTTTTTGAAATCCTTATGAGCAAATGATGCACATCACTAAGATGGGAAGTTGAGAGCATGGAACAATCTAAAATGGTCATTTTAAACTTCTAATTACATTTATATCATGTACATTTGTATGTTTTTGCATCTTTTCCAATGTGTACAGTATAATTAGCATATTAATTCATGTACATAGTAAGTGAATATATCTTGGAGGTATTTGTATACTTGTAATTTTTTTCTTTTTTTTTTTTTTTGGTACTAGGGATTTAACACAGGAGTGCTTTACCACTGATGTATTTTTAATTTTTCTATTTTACTTTTTATTTTTTTGAGACAGGGTCTCACTAAGTTGCTTAAGGTCTTGCTAAATTTCTGAGGTTGGACTTAAACTTTAAATCCTCTTACCTTAGCTTCCCAAGTTGCTGGGATTACAGGCATGTGCCACCACACCCGGCTGTAATTATTTTTAATGGATGCATTGTACGAATAAAAAGTTTGAGAGCTACTGCTCTAAAATAGTCAAATTGGACAAACTGGGCTCAAATATACACACTGAGCAACTGAAAAAAGCTATTGAAAATTTAATAACTTTAAACTAATCTTCTGAAACCATATTTAAAGAAAAATTATCCCAAAGCCAAACAGTATCAGGTAATTATATAATTTGCAATTCTATCATTAAAATATTCTGTGCTTAATTGGAGAGTTGAACTCCACATGTGCATTTCAATATTCCAGAAAAATTCCTATTAAGAAGATATGTTTCCTGTGTGAGGTATGTTTCCTGAAATAAAGGGCCATATTTATCTTAAGCATATTTTGAACTATAACAACTACCTTTTAAACAATGACCTGAGAAGGTGAGAATGAGATGCTAAAAATCTTTAAAAACATCCAAAATAGATAACTGTTTTGTTCATTTGATTTCCATCATTTTTATTTATTTATTTATTTGCAGAATTAGTTCAAATGCCCCTGATAATTTGTTCAAACTGTGTAAAAGATTTAAATTTGTAAGGTGGATCCTTTTCATGGACTTCCACCCATGTAACTTTTCTTATGGTAGACATTTGGATGGTACATGGATTTTAAAACAGTTTTTAAAAAGGCATAATAGTATAATGTGTCCTTTCATTTAAAGGCCAACTGATGCTTCTTTTTAAAATGTTGCTGTCTTTTTTGTAAGCCATGTGTTTTTATGACAGGTTTTGGAAGGTCAACCAGTAAATATGTTGGTCACAACTGTTTTTGCAAAGGATCTTGATGAAGGAAGTAATGCAGAAGTTCTATATTCAATCTCTGCAGGTAAAACTTACTAATATTAAGTCTGAATGGTTTTTAGAATTTCCTCTGTCATTTATAAGCTCTCTATCTCCTTCTAGGAAGCGGCATCCTATTTTAATTATTCAGAATTCTCTAGTTAAAGTTAAGTATAACAAAATTAAAAACAAAATTTATTTGCTATTGCCAAGAATCACTTCATTTAAAAAAATAATCTTATGAGTTTAGTGAAAACTTTTCTATGTCCTAAATAGAAACCATCCACCTTAAATGAGTAATTTGTACTAATCCAAAGTACAAATTAACTATTACCAGAAGGCAAGTAGTAGCTAGTAAGTAAGAAATGGTAGTTAGTGTGTTACAAGTGCCAAACATCTATGAATCTATATGAAGAGGGACTGCTCTTAACATCAGTGTAAATTATACCTACTGGTACTGTACCATAAATTATTACCATATATGTGTTGTGTATGTGGGAACTTCATTGCAACAGTTTTGCTTTTATGTCTTAAAATTTGCAGGCCTCAGATTTTTTTCTGGTGATTAGGTTTAGTTTGCATTGTATCTTAGACCATTTTAAAAGACATTTGGTGCTTTGTCTTGTTTGACACAGACAATAAAACAAGAGACAATATTGCCATTGCTTGCAGATAATTTGACTGTCTTCATGGAAAACCCAAGATGTACTACTATAGGCAAAGTATTGGAATTAATAGGGTAGTATATTTTTCCCAGAGCCACGTACAAAACTCACTAGCACTTTTTAAATTAGGCAGTTTTTCAAAGATCTCATTCTTTGTAGTGAATCCATAAAGAACCATAGAGTGAGAGCAGATTCATTGCAAAGCTAATGAAGCTTAAGTTTCAAGGTCCTTGACTATGTGACCTTCTCCAGGAAAGGGGGATGGTAGGCAATTTATATATTTTTCTCTAGGAGGACCCCTTAAATTATATAAGCTTCAGAACTCCCTAAATCAGGATCTGTGCCTATTAAGAGGCATAGGGAAAATTCCAATAAAACATGTATAAGACCTGTATGAAGAAAGTTACAAAATATTAATGAAGATAAATGAAAAAGGCAAATGAAATAGCCAACCAATGAAATTAAAAACTGTGTCATGTTCATACTTAGGAAGTCTCTATATCCAAAAGATGAAAATGATTTAAATATATAAATTTGGTGTATTTCCAATTGAAACCTCACTGAATTTTGGTGGAATTTGACAAACTGATTCTGGAAGTCACACGGAAGAGCAAAAATCACTGAATAACTAACACAATGTCAAAAGAACAACTAGGATATTTATCCTCTGTAATTAAATCCCAGTGGCTCAGAAGAAGGCTGGGTGAGGCAGGAGGATCACGAGTTTAAAGCCAGCCTCTGTAACTTAGTGAGGCCCTGAGCAACTTAGTGAGACCCTGTCTGTAAATAAAATATAAAAAGTGCTGGGGATGTGGCTTAGTGGTTAATTACCCCTGAGTTCAATCCCCAGTACAAAAAAAAAATCCTGTAATTAAGACAATATTGTATTGATTCTTTGATTAACAAATAGAGCAGTGGGAAAGAATAGAGAACTCATCCCACATAAATGGAGACTTGTATGAAAAGATATACTATCAGTAAAATAAAATTATATATCTACCTCTCAATCTATCAAAGATGAGGTGGTTTAAGTAGGAAAATCCTTGAAATCTTACAGAAGAAAATATGAGAGATTGATTTGATATTAGCACTGAGGGCAAAGAATGATTTTTAAACAAGAAAAGCAAAAATTTACAAAGAAACAGATCAATAAAGCTACATTCAAATTTTAAAAAGGAGCCTGAATCATCAAAAACATGTTAAAACACGCTCAACCTTGTTGGCATAACTACTTTGAAGAAGAGTGGATGATATCTGATAGAATTGGAGGTGTGCTCACAGTGAGCCCTTGAAGTTTCATTTCTGCTGTACACCTCAGAGAAACTCAGATACGTGCAGGACAAGACCTGTAGCAGAATATTTATTGAAGCATTGCTTGAATTGCTTACATAATATGGTAAAGTACTCTACAATGAAATTGAGTGTATGGAGCTGTGCATACATGATCCCAGAAAAACCTTGAATTTTATGTAAAAAAGGCAGGTTACAGAAGATAAAAAAAAGTATCTTACTCTATAACAGTGGTTCTCAGATCATTGTGTCACCTCTTTCTGGGGGAGTTCCACTTGTTCCTCTCATCACCTCCTGGATCCTGGGCAAGTTCTCCTTTCATGTTCCTATGCCCACATCCTGATTTCTCTACCTGTAAACATTTCAGAAGGTCTTTCCAACTTTTTCAGTATACTTAAACAGTGTTTTGGAATAGTGATTTTGCAGAGATAATGAGCCTACTGAAGCAGATCTATCTAATATTTTTCACTTAATTTTCCTTTTTGCAAAATTGGTACATTATAATTTTACATAATAGTGGGATTAGAAGAACTATATTTAAAGACAGTTATTCTTTCTCCTTTTAAATTTTATTCTTAATTTTTTGTCTCCCCATTAATTACTGCTCAGCTTTCTCTTTCTAGTCTTGTAATTTATTCTAATCTGGTCCCAGGAAGGAAAGTGGCTTTTCAAGCATGCATTCAAAGATCTTCCTCTGGTTATTAGATCAGTAAGACCAGTAAGATCTTTGTATTATATTTTTTCCTGTTTTATTCTGAGCAGGGAAAGAGAACATGGTCCACCTATGAAAAGCCACAGGGGTGAAGAGGAACACACATGCACACATCCTTACGTTGGGCTATAATCCTGCTGTAATACCATTATTTAAAAACAAGCAAAACCATGTTATGCATATTTATGAATGTATGGAATAGATACATAAACCTTCACTTCAGTTAGGTAAAGTGGCTTTCTATGGATAAGGAAGAGAGGAACAAGATCTGGAGGTATATATAGGCCCACTGATTTCTTTATACTTGGTCATTTCATTTAAAATCTTGAGGAAATGTTGAGAATTGATCAGCCTGGTTTCCAAAATAACTTTTAGGATGTAGCAATGTAAAAATGCAGTAACTTTATCTCATTACAAAATAGAGGCAACTACAAAATATAATAGAAAAACAAGACAAAAATTAGTGAAATGGGAACAGAGATTTGAATCATATTCCTGAGAACACGCCACAGTATTCTGGTGAGACTAAAGTGAGTGTATTATATCACAGAAATCACAACTAATAAATGTTACATAACTTCTTGCTCAATATCTGAGTTTCTTAAAGGCAGGAGTTCTTTTTTATTTGACTTTATATGTTTGATAATTGGTATCATTCAATACTAGTGACTCGGCAATTGTTTAAACAAAGAATGGAAGACTCTAGCCACTCGGGCTTTGTCTGAGGCTTTGTTTTTTTTTTTTTCCATTTTTTGGAGTATTCGGGTTTAATTAAAGAATAAAATCTGCTATTTAACTCAAGACCCTGTGGTATCAATCTGAATTATAAACATCTATATGAACTTATGATATATTTTTGTGCATAAGTGTGTCTGTTCTCTGTCCACTGAAAAGGCCTAGAAGTGATGATCAACCCCAAAATAATGAACATCCCTAATGTCCAGAATATGGTCTCCCCAAACCATTTTCCACCAAAAGGAACCAGAAGTCGTTAGAGAAATGACTGATTATAGATGTTACACAAGAAATCTACAGAAAGAGTCTGCACCATTTTGGTTTTTGCTCTACCCCTTACAAGGAGTTTATGAAGATCATTGGAATTCCATCCAAGTGGTCCAGAAATCATATTTAAGATGATCCCAGTGTTCAACCATATGAGCACCATTAATGATAATAATGACAATATGTTGAAGGACATTTGTTTAATGTCATGCTTAATAATTTGTAAAAAAAAAAAAAAACATAGAACTGTACTTATAGTTGGTACATTGGAGGATATTAGTAAACCCACCCATTATTTCAAAGATAGTTAAAAGTTTAGTATCAAGCATTTATCTTGTCTTTCCTGTAATAAACGGTTCCTCTGGTTTATCAAAAAAATAGATGAAAGGCAATTTCTTTTATTGAAATATTCTGGCTCATAAATGAGCATACAGCACGTTAATGTTGTATGTTTTGCAGTCCTTATGAGTCCATAGATCTAGGCTGTGAATCAACAAGGTCAACATCAAAACCAAAAGGCAGCCAAGCAGGTGCCTTTGGAGGGAAGCACTGTTTGTGCTGTTGTCTGGCTGAGAAATCCACACGAGTCCCATCAGTTTTCCAGATCCCCCTTCCAATTCGACAACCAGAGGAAGATATGAAGCCACCTGTCAGCAATGCAACAACCCAATTTAAACCATGAGAAACTTCAAGAGACATGATTCAGCTTCTTCACCAAATGAATTGCAAGGATGAAATAGAGAGATATACGGCAGGAATGAATGACTTCAAGAAATATGAACTCTACAAACTTTATTTTGATGCTAATTTGAAGAATCCAACCAAAAGATATTTATGGGACGATCAGAAATCTGAAAACTTCCTGGATATTTGATGATGTTAAAGGATCACTGTTATTTTTAAAAGTATTTCATGGTACTATAATTATTTAAAAGCATTCATTATCTGTTAGAGATGCATGTTGAAGTGTATACAGAAGAAATGATATGATTTCTGGAAATGTTATGATTTCCTTCTTGTTCAGAAATAAATGGGGGATGGGAAATATAAAAACTAGGAATAGATGAATTAAGATTGTCCATGAATTGATAATTATCGAAGCTAGGCGGTGAGAGCACAAGAAAGTTGATTATGTCATTTTATGTACTTGTTTAATATGCTTGAACATTTTTAAAAAATGTATTATATTTACAGTTCATGGTCTTCTTGTCTTGTTTAATTTAAATTTATTTGAACAGATACATGAAAACTTAAAAGATGTGCTTATTAATGTGGTAGCATATGACATTTCGATACATTGTGTAAGGTTTGAGTCTGTCACCTCCAAGATGTTCAAGCTGTCATGGAACTTAAGGCAAATACATATTCCAAAAGATCATAGATACATTGGATTAATTGGTTTTCTGCCTGGTCAATTAACATTTGTTTCTTAATTTGTGTGTGTGTGTGCGTATGTAGAAAATTATTCTGATCACTTTAAGATCGATGCCAACAATGGTGAAATAAGAACCACCACGATGCTTTCACATGATTATCGACCTTCCTACAGGATGACGGTTATCGCCAGTGACCAGGGAGTACCTGCCCTTCACGGAGAGGCAATTGTTAATATTCAGGTAATGTTGTCACCATAAAATGTGAAAGAATATTCTGAAGGTTTTGTTTGATTTGTATACAAGTGTAGAGAGTGAAAATACATTCAATACATGAATACTATTTTAAGATCACTTTGCACATATATTTATTTCTTTGTTATCCCTAGGAATTGATTTAAATCCATATAACTTTTAGAATTAGTTTGGGGCAGTTCTTGACAAGGCATTCATCACTCCGTGGGCATTTAGGTTGCTTTGTTTATGTTATGTCTTTTATTTTATTATATCCTGATGGGAAGGACCTGGTAAATTGTTAGGAGAAATTTGTATGTAAACAAGGGCCACGTCACAAATCACTTAGAGTTTTGCAATCTTTAAAGCTTAGAACAGTTGCTTAAGATCCATAAAAATATGGATTAAAAAATATGGATTTTAAAAGCCTTAAAAAGGCTTTACTTAAATCAAACAAGTTCTACGAAGTCTTCAGATAAGAAAAGCCCTCCAACCAAAGTTAAGACCGAGTGACTGCACAGGTAGAGTTCTTTGTTGATGCACATGATACCCAGTGATATTAATATAAATATATGTATATAATCAAGAATATATTTCCCCAACAATTGTGTTTTCAGATTATATTCTTTATGGATTCAAGAAATAAAGATTTGGAGAAAAATCTACATAGCTATACCTCAATTATTTTTTAAATTTCAGACAAAGATACATGCCATTTACATGTACAAAGATGTCATTATGGATAAATGGATCTCTAGGATTTACAGTAATTTGGAGAACCAGCTGTCCCACATTTCCTTTGAAGAACCACAAGGTTATATTTCAACATGGCCTCACAAAACTACCATTTCACACATCACAAAAAGTGGAAAATCATGTCATTTCCTATATCCTAAATATTATGCAATTTTTAATCTTATGAGGCATGTTTTCTGACCAAGTAACATGTATATATTGCACAAGTAGGAATTAGTTTCCAAACTAATATTGTAACATGTATTAGTATTTAATATTATGTTACTATTTTATTAATTGCTCAAAAATACTCCAAACTCACAGCTCTTTTTTTTTTTTTTATTCTTGCTCCAGGTGATACCACTCTACAAAGGGAGAGTTATCATTTCTCAGAACATCAGACATTTGGTTATACCAGAAAACTTGAAGCCGGCAAAAATAATGAGCTTGATAAAGTCACCCGATCACCTTCAACAGCATCACAATGGAAAGCTACACTTTATCATTGCTGCCAATGACAAGGATAGTCACTTTGAAATCGACAGCTCAACGGGAGACTTGTACCTTTCTAAGGCACTTGATTATGAAACGACATCTCATTACCTTTTCAGGGTGATTGCTGAAGATCGAGGCAAACATCCTCCCCCGAACAGCACCGTCTTCCTCAGTATTGATGTGGAAGATCAGAACGACCATTCTCCATCTTTCCAGGATGAGTTCATTGTGATAAGTGTAGAAGAGAATGTGCCGGTAGGAACTCTGGTGTACGAATTCCATGCCAAAGACGGTGATGGCAGCTTTTTGAACAGTAGGATACAATACTTCATTGAATCCCACCATCCTGGAATGAATCCATTTCTCATCCACCCCTCATCTGGCATGCTAGTCACCGCCTCCCCTCTGGACAGAGAGAGTACCCCAGCTGTCACTCTGACAGTAACCGCCTCCGATCAGGCTGTGAACGTGACAGACCGGCGACTGAGATCACTGGTAGCAAAAGTGGTGATTTTGGATGCAAATGACCACAGGCCTACTTTCACGACTTTCCCCATCTCCTATGTCAGAGAGGATGCTGCGGTGGGCTCCGTGGTGCACCACGTGAGTGCTCAAGATCCAGATGAAGGAAGGAATGGAGAAGTAACATACAGCATCCTCTCAGGAAATGACCACATGACCTTCGTGCTGGATGAGTCGTCAGGTACAGTGTCCTGTGTGTCACTTTAAACATTTTCTATTTAAATTTATTGTGGTAAGAAAACTTAACATGAGACCTACTTTCTTAACAAAGTTTTGTTTGTATAATACGTGATCTTTGACCTTGGGTATCATGTTATGCAACAGATTTCTACAGCTGATTCATCTCATTTAACCAAAACTATGATTTCTCCCTTTCTCCCTCCATCCAGTTGGACAATCCCCATTGCACTCTTTGATTCTATGAATTTGACTATTTCAAAATACCTCCTATGAGCAGAATAATGACATACTTATATTTCTGTCATTGGCTTATTTTACTTAGCATAATATCCTCAAAGTCTATCCATGTTATCACATATTAACAGAAATTCCTTCTTTTTTGAAGGCTAAATAGTATTCCATTTGACTCCAGTTCTTCTGGATAAACATCCAGAAGCGGGGGTTCCATGTTGTGTGATAATTTTCTTTTCTTTTTTTTTCTTTTTTGAGAAATCTAGAAATGTTTACAGCTTAAAGTACTACCTCTGCACTTATCATATATAAGTTAAAAAGTGTAACAACTCAAACATTTTTAAAGCATATATATCTTGAGAACTATTATTTTAAAAGAAAGGAATATTAAAAGGATAAATGTAAATAGGTAATAAGAAACTTTAATTGAAAGAGAAGTAAAAATGCATCCAAATCAGAAAGAAAGAAATAAAAGTATCCTTGTTTGCAGAACACACAATCTTTTAAATAGAAAACCATGGTGATTTTACAAAAAACAAACAAACAAAAAAACTCTTATAATAAACAATTTCAGTAAGGTTACACAATATAAAATCTACATACAGAATCAATTGCATTTCTATACACTAATAAGAAGCTACTTGAAATTAGGAAAATGGCTCCCTTAATATAGCACCAAAAGGAGTAAAAATACTTAGGGCTAAACTTAACTAAGGAGGTGAGCAACTGCTATACCAAAATTTACAAAACACTGATGAAAGAGTTAAAGAAGGCACAACCAAATGGAAAGATATCCCATGTTCATGGAGTGGAAGACTCAATATGGTTCAAACAGTCAAACTATCCAAAGTGATCTACAGATCAGTGCAATCTCTATCAAAATTTCAGTAACACTTTTCACAGAAACATAAAAATGTTCTAACTTTAATTTGCCTGTTTGTTAATAGTAGGTACACTACAGCTAGCTCACATCTCATAGGCTGAATATACAATAGCAAACTTCTTTGCCTCCATCATGGGACCTTGCAGTAAGAGATGAAGCTAAAAGTAAATCAAGGCAAGAACATGACAAATCAATACCACTCTTTAAAGACTTAGACACAGAAACTTATCTTTATATTATGTAAACAAATATTTGTAAATAATTGAAAATAATATATACATGTTTTAATGGTTGAATTCATGTGGACATTAAGGGTGTTGCTTTTCACATATATTGTACCCTTTTGTGTTTAGAAGATCACTGTCAAATACTTTGTGAAAATGTCTCTCACTGTGACTTCAATTGTTTGTTGCCACATAACAACTACTCTAAGTTTTGATGTGACTTGATGAAAGAGTATATATGTACAAAGAGTAGTGTTCTGAATTTGGAAATGAATTTCCTTCTCCTTGATTTTCAGGGGAAATTGAAAAATTAATAGACTTCTATCTTATTCTCTAAAAAAAAATTTCTATATAAGCCTCAGGAAAAAATCTCAGATGTACACCATTTGGCACAAATGCTAATAAGAGCATTATTTGGAATGGAACTGAATGTGCAGGATTTGGAAGTCATGATTGTAGTCTAGCTCTATTCTGTTGGAAATTTTCATCAAAATATTTATTAAATCCTGTGCATATGTTTCCATTCAGAGGCATGCATAGACACCACCTAAATGCCCAACTGACAGGGAGATAGTCCAGACACAGGCTGGGGCTCTCCAAGGACCTATTTCAATGATACTTAAAATGTTTTCCAACATGACCAAGGAAGGTCTATTTCAGATTGTTAAAGAGAATGAATAAAATTAGAATTGTATCTCAGTGTGGTGGTTTTTGAGCAATTGCAATGGCTGTTTCAGTTGAGATATTTTTCAAAGACTTAAAATGGTAATAGCCAAATGCATCCATATGAGGTGAAATTTTTTCCTCTCACAAGATTTATGTTTCTTATAGAGAAATGGCTTTAATGGCTGTGAGATATGACGTGATGCGTAATTATTGAGAAACTATCTTTATAAAGTTTGATTTCATAAACCTCTTGAATTATTTGAAGAAAAGTTCTTAAAGGATGAGAGAAGAAATCAGCAGTTCTAAAAGAAAAATGTGACAATTGGAATCTTACAATGACTAGCTTTGTAAAGCACTTTACTCATATGGATTATGTGCTTCAATGGCAATATGATACAGCCATGTTATAGCACCCTTGCTCTTTATTGTAAAAAAAAAAATAAGACAGTTAACTCAGATTAAGTGTAAAGAAGCCAGAACTCTTTAACAAAAATCAAACATCTTGCCAGGCATGATGACACATGCTTGTAATCCCAGTGGCTTAGAAGGCTGAGGCTTAGGATTGTGAGTTCAAAGCCAGCTTCAGCAACTCAATGAGACCCTAAGCAACTCAGCAGGACCCTTTCTGTAAATAAAATTTAAAAAAAAAAGAGGACTGGGGATGTGGCTTAGTGGTTAAGTGCCCCTGGGTTTAATCCCCAGTACCAAAAAAAAAAAAAAAAATCAAACATCTTTAAGTAATGTAGTCATACTCAAATTTTTATAACGCAATCACTTTTAAACATGGAATATCATGTGACATGAAAATATGTGTTGTTAATATCACAAATATCATTTAAGTGAGGGAAATATTGGGTAAGCAAATAATTTTATGTTTTTAATCAGTGTATTGTAATCATACATAACAGTGAGACTCATTGCAGCATTTTTTATACATGCGTAAAACATAATTTTCTAGTACTTCTTTTTCTCCTCTCCTCCCTCCCCTTGGTGCCTTTCCTCTACTCTACTGAACTCACTTCTCTATATTTGTCTTTCAGTTGGCGTATTATAATCATACCTAAGAGTGGGTGTCACTGCGATGCCTGTACATGCACATTGAACATTGGTTGATTTCGTTCTCCGGTGTCTCCCTTTCCCTTCTCTCCTCCCTCCCCCTCAATATCCTTCCTGTACTCTACTCCCTTCTATTTTTTGAGGTTCTGTGTTTTATTCCTTTCTTCTCTTTATCTTCTACATATTCAACCCTTGACTTTCTGAGTCTGGCTTATTTCACTTAGCATGATGTTCTCCGGTTCCATCCATTTACCAGCAAATGACATCATAATTCATGCCGCGTTGTCCTTCTGGGAAACAATAGATGGTTTTTGAATTTTCATTCATCCCCATAAATAAATTGATTTTTCTGACTAAAAAATGTGAACTGTTAATTCTGGATAATATACGAATTTAAAGTTGGTTTAATATATTCATTCTTTAACAATGAAAATTGAGTGTTGGGCTAGGGATGTGGCTCAAGTGGTAGCGCGCTCACCTGGCATGCGTGGGGTACTGGGTTTGATCCTCAGCACCACGTAAAAATAAAATAAAGATGTTGTGTCCACTGAAAACTAAAAAATAAATATTAAAAAAAATAAGAAAAGAAAATTGAGTGTTTATCAATTTAAATAAGTTTGACATGGGTAGAATGAACATAACCAACCTAAGGAATATTCATAACACACTGCTTTTTTTTTTCTCTTTCAAAACAGGCTTACTAACTACAATTCGTCCTTTGGATTATGAACTAAAAACTCAGCACATTCTGACCCTTCTGGCCCTGGATGATGGCATGCCAGCACTTTCTTCATCACAGACCTTGACAATTACTGTTCTTGATGTAAATGACCATGCACCAGAATTTATGCAGCACCTGTATGAAGCTTCAGTTAAAGAAAACCAACGTCCAGGGGCATTTGTCACAAGGGTTGAAGCTCAGGACAGAGATTCAGGTAATATAAGAATACAGAAACTGGGTAGTTAATACAAAAAAAAAGGCACTCAAAAACTATCATTAACTTAGTTTAAAATAGTCACGCTCAGTTGCTAGTTGTCTCAGACTTCTAATGCTTCCTTCATTTGAATACACATAGCCACACACACATCAAGATAATTGTGCCTTTTATAGCATTTGTTTATATGGATCTTTATTATCATTTATACTAGAGCAGTACATAACTAATTAACATGCGACTTATTGATTTGATCTTGATAGTAAAAAGAATTATAGAGGAAGAATGACATTTATTTCCCAGCGTAAGAGATGGCTCAAGTAAAGAAGACAAATAAATTTTTTTATTTCCTCAATATTTTAGCAGAGTGGAAGAGATGGCATCAGATGGCCTAGGTGAGAATCCCAGAATTAGCATCCATTTAAGCTGTGGAATGGAGAACAAGTCACTAATCCTCACTGTTCTGCTAATTGTAAAATAGGGCTAAAAATGCTGTCTAATTTATAGTTCTCTTATGAGAACCACATTTTAAAAGGTTTGTAAGGTATCATTCTGTACAACTCTCTAACGAGTGTGAAAGAGTTATTACATGTATGGAATTTAGACCAGTGACTGACACAATAAATGGTCAGTGTTATTTGCCCATCACTACTATCATTACTATTATTATTAATATCAACTAAAGACAATAACAGTGAACAGAGTGAACAGTTGCCCTGGCTAGGAATTTATAAATTTCTGAGACTTGCTTTTCAATAGCTCTGTAACTCTTTTGGCATTTAAGATTTGGCAACTTCAATAACTAACTTGGTTTTTCTTTTAAACAAAACAATGATTAAAAGTATAGAGCAGTGTTTCATATTAGCAGCATATTCTCAATTTTTCCATCTGTAATTTAATAAGCCAATCTTTTAAATTTGCGTTTGTACATAGCAAGGGGCGTTATATATCAATATAATATTTTATTCTATTCTTTTAAGAATTGTAAAAGATGTTTCTATGGAAATAATAGTATCAACAATAATACATTACCCCTTGCCAAGTTGTTAAGTCAAAAGACTCCAAGATTTTCTTCAACTTTTAAGCTGAATTACATACTATTTGGCTCTTTTGCCATATCTTTTAATGAAGTACATTTTACATGAATTTGTGTTAGATGCTAGAACAGTTTCAAAGGCTAACCTAATTTTCTCTCTTTGACCAGAGCGGGGCAGTGTGATCAAAGAGTTTTCCTTCCTATGTTCAAAGATATAGTACTAGAGCAAGCTCACCGTTGTCCCAGGCTGTGCTTCAGAATCTGTTCAGGACGTAGCCAGAAATGATCATTTTTAGAGTGTTAGCAACAATGGGGAATATACACTAGCTTTGTGATTCACAATAATTTCAGTTCTGTGAGGTTCTCTTAGGGCCTCCTCTGTTATAAACAGCAATGCAGAGCTCCAGATAACATAGAAGCCACTCCTGAAAGTGTATAGACACACATTGAACCTATTGCTGATGCTATGTGATTTAACAATCATGTAAAATTCTCTCTTCCTTTATTTTTCAAGTTTTATATTTTTTGCAATGGGCTTTACTGAAAGTATTTTTTTCCTTTAATGTTTGAAAGGGAGAAAACACTTTCTCCCAATATTTTGCATGTATTAACTAAAGATGACTACCATAAATATACTCTTCTAATTTTTACTGTTAAATCGCCTAGTGTTAGTGCTGTTTTCTTTTAGTATAAATATTCTGCATCCTGTTAGTTATAATTGAATGAAAGCTCATTTATTCTAGAAATTATGATTGCTGACTGCAAACTCAGATGCACAATTATTATTTTTGTTGCTTTGCATAAATGGGTATTTACCACAAACATTAACATCTTCATGAGTCTCATGTACCTTTGCGTGTTTTGGAGATGGTTTTGATTTACTGGAAATCTCAGTGTTTTTAGTGAGGCCAGATTGGTTAAGAAGGTGGTTATGTAAATACATGTAAATACTGCTATGTGTGCATTAGCTTTTGAATATATTTTCTCTCAATACAGTTCTAAAATTTCTACCTAGTGGGTTAAAACAATGAAAGAGGATTATGCATAAGAAATGACATAGTCAAGATTTTAACATAACTGGCATTGCATTGGAATTTATGAATGGTTTACTTTATAGTATGTATTTTAAAAAATACTATAGCGTTACTTAAAACCAGCGAGCTTAACATATGTTTTCTAGCATTCTACAATGCAGTTTTAAAAAATGTAAGCATACGGTGTTGTTTGGCATTCAAAACCCACAGGGATTTGCGCACTGAATGTTTATGATGTATGACTCACACTAATTCTAACAGGAGTTTCTTCTTGTATTAAGAGGAAAAAACAACTACCAGATTTTAACTAAGGTATTAAAACTGCTGCAGCATTTGGTGCTCCCAACAAGAGCTCCATTGTTAGTGAGTGAAGTCCTGTCCCTATGGTGCCCCTCCAACTCCCTGGATGAAGACGTGCCCACCAGGGAAGATGGCTCACATTGCTCAGTAGTGATGAATACAAAATAGTTTAACAGTACATTGCCATACATAAATATAGAATTAGTTAATAAGATGTTATTCTCTATTCCATAAAAATATATTCTCTGCCTGGGGTCATCTTGATCTGCTGGAAGATTTCACCTACATCAGATATACCACTGCACCTTTCAAACCTATATTTATAGACAGGGAAAGACATGATATTTCTTTGAATCCAAAGACCATTAATCCAAGGACCATTAATCAGAAGATGCATCTAATTTCAGAAATTGAAAATGTATAAAACATGTATCTTAGAATTAATGAAAATAAATAGATTCTTTGCCTTAACCTTAGAATTACGTCTACCTGGCTGATGTCTTTAACCTCATAGGAAATTATAAGGTATCATTCTGTACAACCTTTAAAAGGAGACTTATTTGTGCACATATCAAAGGATAAGGATGTTGTGTGAGTCACTTTCCATTGCTGTGACCGAATAACATGACAAGAACAACTTACAGTCGGAAAACCTTATTTGAGGCTCATGGTTTCAGAGATTCAGTCCATGGTCAGTCAAATTCGTTGCTGTGGGTCCAAAATGGAGCAGAACATCATGGTGGAAGGGCATGTAGAGGACAGGCTCTCAGCTCATGGCAGCCAGGAAACAGAAGTTGTGAAGAGCCAGGAACAAGATATAATCCCCAAAGCACCATACCCCACCTGTCATTCAGATCATTAATACATCAAATGGGTTAACCCACAGGTGAGGTTATATCTCTCATCACTGCCTAAGAGCCCTACCTCTAGGTGACATACCTTTAATCCCAGCAACCTTGGAGAGACTGAGGCAGGAGGATCACAAGTTTGAGGCCATCTTTAGCATCTTAACAAGAACTACCTTAAAATAAAAAAAATAAAAAAGGGCTGAGGGTGCAGCATAGTGGTAGAGCACACTGGGCTCAATTTCCAGTACCAAAAAAAAAAAAAAAAACCCAACCTCTGAACTTTGCTGTATTGGGAACTATGCTTTCAAAACATGAGCATTTCCAGGGACATTTCTAGATCCAAACCATCACACATGTTAAAATATTTTAATATGTGCCATTTTGCAATAACAATTTCTCACTGTAGTAGAAACTCTAGTTGGCTGTGCATTTTTTAAGGCAATTTCTTTATGGGGTGATATTTCCCCAGTGTCATCTACAGAGGCCAAATATCCATCAACTGTTCATCTGCACTTTATTAAAAGTTACTGGTTGACATGCTCTTCAGTTTTTTTTTAAACCAACAGTATTTACCCAAAGTTTTAGATTCTGTACAATCCATATAAAGTGGGACCAAATCAGTGTTACAGACTTTGTACCCCAATTCTAGCAACTCTGATTTTACCAAAGTCCTAACAGAGGGATTTGGATATAGGCTAGACCACTGGGCATTTCAATGTTAAATGCCCCAGTCTTAGGTCATGAAACATTGCTACAAGAAGTTACATGCTGATTGAAGTTACCACCTACATAGAGTATAGTTCTGCTAATCCACATGTATTTCCTAGGTTTATGACAATATAAGATAAGCAGAAAACTCTTGCTCTTCTCTTGAAACTATAAGCTATCTCTGACTGAGAGTTGCATTTGACTTCCGGCAATGTGTTGAAATCTGATCCTGTTCATGGGTGTTCACAAATATAGACATCCCCTTACTGGGTACCTGTTGCATCTGCCAGTCAATTTGGGTCTGATCTTCAGGGAGATTCATTTTAGGGCTCCCATAGAAACTTGCTAGTTCTCTAACTATGGCTGACTTGAGCTGCAAGTTCAAAGCCTCAGTTTGTAGTTTTCATTCTTTAAGTTCCTAGTACATTCAGAATATCATCCTGAGTCATATTTCTGTTGCCACTATCTAGTCAAGGTTAGCACCACTTGGTCTCTAACAAATTTGAGTCCTTTAACAGTCACTCTCAACACCTTGGAACACAGGTGATAATTCAATCGTGACCTCACCCCAAATGCTAAATTACTAGAATCCCATTACCACAGCAAGGAACTCAGCACTGCATGGAAGGCCGAACACAGAATCAAACCAATCCCAGAATCCCTATTACCCGAGAACTGCTTTTGCCAAGTACTTTATCAATCACTTTCAGTCAGGGAAACGAGATGCTACAACACAGGTGCTGTACAGTTGAATTACCAGAAAGAGAATACTAAGGTAACTTAGAAAAAATAACTCTGGAAGCACTGGGAAACACAGAGAGGAAATTGGGGTTATTGAAACCTAGGAAGGGCATGAGAAGGGGCCTGGGGGGCCTGTTTCTCCATTGTACCATCTGTTGGATAATCAAGGTGGGCAGAGAGATGGTTGGCATGGTTCTGGACTGAGGTTTTGCTGGACATCTATGGCAAAAAGCTTTGGGACCTGAGGAAATAAGCCAGGTTACTAAAGTGACAGTTCTTGGAACTGGACTGGATAGGGTAAAAAGTGTCATTGAGGAGAGGTGTCTTGGGGACATAATGAAGCAGGCACCGGACCCAGGTATTGTTGTCTAAGAGGAGATGTGCCATGCGGATGTGTGTGCACACACAGGCACACACACACACACACGCACACACCCTTCAGTAAGTGTGTGTCATTAGCCTATAAATATCTTCAGATGCAGATTTCTAATTGAATTACCCAGGAGATGAAATTAAACTAAATCATCTCTATTCATTTTTGTCTTCCTGGTTCTCAAGTCTGATGGGGCCACATTTGTGCTGAAGGATTAAAGAGTGTGAGGAGAAAGAAGCAACTCAATCAGTTGAAACCACCAAAAAATATGGGAAGAATTATTTTTAAAATGCATAATAATGTGTTATCATATTTCTCACTCCAGATAGGACATTGATTACTAAGTAAAAAAAAAAAAAGAAAAAACAAACAAAGCAAAAATAAATATATAAGCAATTCTGTGGTTTTGCCTCCTGAAAATAAACAAAATCTTATAACTTAGCACAGGCTTTTAAATAGAGGGTTGATCCACAGAAATTGTCATTTGCCCCACAAGCTTACAATTATGCCATTAAATCACGATCAGGGGGTGTTAGAAGGAGTAATTAGGAATACATTGTAGAATTGTATACTCATAAGAAAAATTTTATGGGAGGGAAAAAATCCTAAGCATTCACCATGGGGAAGTCTCATAAGACTTTTGAAAATAAAGCATTTCAGCTCATGGGGCTTTTATTTCACAAGAACAGCCAAACAGATTTTCCTTCACCTTAATTTGAAAGTTGTTTAAGAATCTCACCTTCCTCATCTACAGCCTGACATGTTCAAAGGAAAATGAATGGGAATACAGTCAAGTTTATTCCACAGAGATGATTGCTAGGTTTTTCTTTTGATTTTCCTTAAGGAATCAATTCCAAGCTTCGGTTTGAAATCATGCCAGGGGCTTCCTTTGGGTTGTTCGAGATCAATCCTGACACTGGAGAGGTAGTGACAACTACCACATTTGACAGAGAAGTTCAGGATGCTTTTGCCCTTCAAGGTAAGGAATCTTTGCCCCCTCCCCACCAAAGGTCAATGATATAAAAAAAAACACACACACACACACACCAAAACCCCAAAAAGATCCACAGTGAAATTTTACATTTTATTAACGTATCTTTAAATATTATTGACCCAGTGCTACCTATAAGTTTAGTCTGATGCTGTCTAACTAGAGCAATGCATTTCATGTATGAGTTAACGGCCACAATTGGTGCTGTCTTTCTGTTCCATGTCAGTACTAGTGCGAGATGAGGGCGTCCCATCATTGTCCAGCACCACAACTATCGTCTGCACTGTTGAAGATGAGAATGATCACGCGCCAGAGTTCATTGTCCCCATTCATGACATTGAGGTCCTGGAAAACCAAAAGCCAGAGGTTGTCTATACTGTTTGGGCCTCTGATATGGATGCTGGCCAAAATGCAGCCATCAGATTTCACATAATCGGTAAGTACTTTTAATGAAAATCCCCGTCCATGAGACTGACTGGAGTCAATGTGCCCTATAGGGTGATTCTCCTGTATCTGGCATCTGTTGTATTTTTTTGCATAATGCACACCCAGTAGGAACTGAAGGGTAACATTTGGCATGGGCTTCCTTCCACCCCTCCCACAGCCACCCTGAACCACTAACTTCCAAATTCTTTAAAATCCTGGCCTTGAAAATTGTGAATTTGCTTTCATACTAACTGTAGTAGATAGATGGATGGAACAAATAGCTTTTCTCCTATATTTTTCCCTTTCAAATGATCACTTATTTTATTTTTTGCTTCTTTAATTAATGTTTCTTTCTTACATTCTTGCCAAATTTTATGATAATTTGATAGATTTTTTCTACAAAAGATTGATTTTTGTATATATTTTCCTACAACTAAAATATTTATGCTGAAATATAAGATCTAATAAATTTTTAAGTAAATATAGAGTCCAAATCCAAAAGTTATTTTGGCTGTAGTTATTGATGTGATTATTGCAACATTAAAAATAGAAAAATTACATTCCATGTTTTGACACTATTTAACATGGAAATTAAAATTATATTGGACTGGAAATACATATCTTAATGAGATTGATGGGCTTTTTTTCTAGCTCATGAATTCATGCAATTTTTTTTTTTTTTTGAGACAGTAGTTTGCTATGTTCCTCAGTTTGGCCTCAAATTTATGGGCTAATCCTCTTGCCTCAACTTCTCAGTAATTAGGACTATGAGTATGTACTTCTGTTCCCCAGGATAAAACAAGCTGTAGTGCCAAGTCTGCTGCTGTTTTTCTTTGTTACATATATAAGAACTGAGGGTTCCTCTGGGCATGCTGGTGCACGTCTGTAATCCCAGCAGCTCAGGAGGCTGAGGCAGAAGGATCAAAGCGAGCCTCAGCAACTTAAATAAAATATATTTTTTAAAAGGGCTGGGGATGTGGCGCAGTGGTTAAGTGCCCCTGGGTTCAATCCCTGGTACCCGCTCCAAAAAGAAAAAAGAAAAAAAGAAAAGAACTGAGAAAGTCCCTATGCACATTCATTCATTCATGCATGCATTCATTCATTCAGTTTTGGGTGCTGTGGACTGAACCCAGGCCTTTAGTAATGCTAGGTATGTGCTCTGCCACTGAAGCTACAATCCCAGCACCTTCTGCAGGTTTTTTTTTTTTTTAAAGGGAGGATCATTGTTTGATACAAGTAAAGTTGGTTTTTGAGCTCTTCCTGAGCTATACACCCCCAAAATCAGTTAATAGTGCTTCTTTTTATTTATATACCACTTAAAAACTTAAATACGTCCTATAATTTAGCTGAAAGCAAACACCCTTTCTGAATACAAAAGAATGTTTTCTCCCAGGCATTAAAGTCAGTCATTGTTTCAGTATTAAATATGAATATTGGGAATGACCCCTTGATTTGGCAGTCATTTATCTGGGTGAGAGATGAAACTTTTTTTTTTTAATTTGTGAGAAGGGCAGTGATAAAGGCAAATTTAGACAAGGTAAACACCATGATCATAGGTAAATTCTGAGGTGGAACAATTTTAACAATAAGGATGTGCAAACTGAGCTTCTGGAAAATACCTTAAAGCTACCTGTTTCCAGGTACTCCTTGGAAAGCTTCATATAACCTTTAAAAACATGCACTTCATATACTCTTTAAGAACAACCATCTAAACATCATCCATTTGTGGTGTTACTCAGTTTTCCATCACTATAACAAAATACCTGAGATAATTAACATACAAAGAAAGAACTTAGTATGGCTCACAGTTTTGGAGGTTCCAGTCTATGATGGATTGACTACATTGCTCTAGACCTATGATGGCACATCATGGTGGAGGGCATGGAAGAGCAAACTCATGTACAGTACAAATTGGGTTAACAAAAGAAAGCAGGAGGATGGAATGGGATCCCACAGACTCTTTAAAGAGTATATCTCCAATGATCTAACTTCCTCCCACTGGGCTCCGCCTCTTAAAGGCTCCACTATCCCCAATATCTCCACACCGGGGACCAAGCCTTTAATAGTCGAGATTCAAACTATAGCATTTACCTAAGCCAAATCAAATAAATTTTTCCTTCCTCCTTATTTTTCCTCCTTAGTATCTTTGGAATATGTCCATTTCCTCTTTGCACACATTATTTTCAGAACCTGTTTGTTGCTCAACTATAGATTACTACAATGCTCTCTTAATCTCCCCATATTCTAATCAAGCCTTGCCTTGCTGCTTCAGTCTTCCTCTTAAAACATAAATTTGATTCATGACACTGTCCTGTCAAAGTCCTTCAGGAGCTCCCCATAGATTCTGAGATAAAATGGAGACTCTTTAACAGTGTGCTCAGGACTTTCATGATTGAACCTCTATCTACCTCCCAAATTCATGTCTTCTTCACTGTGTCAACCCTTTCCCTACCCTCTGCACGCCAATACCCAAGGAACCCTGTGTTCTAGTCACTCGAAAACATTTGCAACCTGCTAAATTCTCCTATTCCTGGGGCTACATACAGGATATTTGCTCTGCATGGAACACTCTTTCCAAAACTTGTACTCTGGCTTTTCTAAAGGAGTGTTTTAGTCAGCTTTTTTGCTTCTGTGAATAAAAGATCTGACAAGAATAATTTTAGAGGAGGAAAAGATTATTTGGGGACTCACGATTTCAGAGGTCTCAGTCCACAGCCAGCCAGCTCCATTCTGTGGATGAACATCATGGCAGAAGAGTTGACTTGATGATCAGGAAGCAGAGACTCCACTCACCAGATACAAAATATATCCCCCAAAGGCTCGCCCCCATCCCCTGCAGCGACCTACCTCCTCCAGCCACAACCTACCGGCCTTCTATTTTGTTTTGTTTGTAGTACTAGGGATTGAACTTCGCATGTACTAGGCAGACTAGGAGTGACTTTTGATATTAATTTTCCTAATAAGCATTTCCTGGCCATCCTAACACCAGGCTATGCATCCTTCCCCTGGCCTCCCAGGATATAGGATTTTTCACACTATATTTTAATGTCTGGATACCGGCATTCATTTCCTCCTAGACTCTAAACTCTTAGCAGTCAGATAATATCTTACCTCTTCAAATTCCCAATGTTAAACATACACTTAGCACATAGTAATTACTTACACTTGGCACATGATAGGTGCTTATTAAATGTTTGTTGAGTGAATTAATCACTCTGTCATCCACAAATAACACAGAAATGTAGGCTTGTCTGACCATCTCTACTTTGGTTATAGATCAACTGTTTCTCTAAATAAAACCGCAGGACCCTCTCCTCACCCCCAGCATCCATTATGACAGTTGCTTTCCTCCAAAGCCATTCCACTTTGTTCTCAGATACCTCCAGTCCTTACATTCTAATAAGGTTCCATAATATTGGACGTGGTCCTTTCATTTTGTCACTCATTTGAGAATATGACTAGCAAGTCTTTGAACCACTTTTTCCTCACAAATTTACCAGGATGACTTTGAAACATTTTGAATTTGTGTTTAGTTTTAACTTTTATTATACTTTGTACCATGGAAAAGAGTAAAGGGCAGATTTTTTTTTAAAGATGCTGAGATGAATAAATTATCTTCTTTGCTAATGTTATGGGATAACTTGTCAAGGGTCCAGCTAACTGTAACAGAAGTGTCACGACTCATGCACAGCATGCCACGGGCATGTGGAAGAGGAAGCTCACGGTGGTATTGTAATGGGCATAAACTCTGAGAATGAGTTTGTTTGGGAAAATCACTATAACTGATCAGTTAATTTTTACTGATATCCAGAAATGGACATTATATCCTGTTTCTTATCCCTGATGTCTATGTTTTATTTTAAATAAAATAATATATTCATATATGTTTGCAAGAGGGAAAATATATGAATATAAAAAGTTGTAGCTATATACAAAAAAAATCAGACTGCCAAAAATCTGTGAAAACCAGTGTTCTAGTTATTGATTCAGTTAAGATGTCTACTGAATCATATTATTATTATTATTCCCTTCTTAGAAGTATCCTAAGGTCAGGGATTTTATCATGCTCACTGTTCTATCCCCAGTACTTATAAAAGTACTAGCTTGAAACAGGAAATATTTCCTAAATGAATGAATAAATTAATATGTATGTTAGCAAATAGATATTTCTTTTTTTCAATTCAAGTAACTTTTCAATTATTTTCTATAACAGATGGAAACACCAATGCGTACTTTGCTATTCATGAAACTTCAGGAGAACTCTCTACCACTCGGGCTTTGGACCGGGAGCAGGTCAACAATTTTACCCTCATCATCCTGTGCTCTGACCTGGGGGCTCCTCCTCGAAGCTCTGTGATACAGTTGCAAGTTAGGGTTTTGGATGACAATGACCACAGCCCATCTTTCCCAGTCCCTCATTACCGGTCCTCTGTGAGAGAAGATGCTGAAATCGGAACCGTGGTTCTGGTGCTGTCTGCTGGGGACGAGGATGAAGGCCTGAATGGGCAGATTGAATATTTCCTATTGGACAAGTCGTCTGGTGCCTTCACCATTGACCCTGCCGCAGGTATACTGAGAACTGCGCACACCCTTGATCGAGAAGCCTGGTCTCAGCATACATTTCAGGTGGTGGCCAGAGACTGCAGCATCCGAGGTTCAAGAAGCACTACTGTGATCATAGAGGTATCTGTCACTGACGTTAATGACAATGATCCAGTTTGGGACCAGAACCCGTTTGAGGCTTTTCTTCCCCCCCAGTCATCTACAAACCAGACAATTGCTATTCTGAGAGCTGACGACCCAGATTTGGGGCCCAATGGAACTGTCACTTTCAGTTTTGCAGACAGTCAGTCCATGTTTTCTCTTGATCGATATACAGGAGAAATTAAACTTCAGCAAAATCCATTGTCAGAACATTTCCCTCTCTGGCTGAGGTTAAAAGTTACAGATCAAGGGGTCCCAGGCAGGACAACCACTGGTCTCTTAGTCATTCACAAGGAAGAAGAAGATGTAAAGATTTCCTTTAGTCACCGTCAATATAAAGGATTCGTGACTGAAAATTGTGAGGCAGGTAAGTGTCCCTTTAAGTTTTTGTATTCCAGCTTATGTAAGAGTATTATCACAGATTCAATTATAAACATCTGAGTCTAGCCAGTCCTTGGTATTGAGAAGTCATAATCATCAATTTGATTGTATTAGTCAGCTTTCAAGAACTATAATGAAATATCTAAAGCAATTAACTTATAAAGTAAAGAGGTTTATTTTAGCTTCCAGTCTGGGGGTTCCAGTCTAAGATGGAGTGACCCCGTTGCTTTGGGTCTCTGGTGAGGACAGCATGGTGGGATACATAGCAGAGCACATCACTCACCTCATGATTCAAGAAGCAGAGTGAAAGGGTAGGACAGGGTCCTGAAATCCCCTCTGAGAATACACTTAAGGACCTCCCAGTAAACCTTGCTTCCAACCTTCTGTTATCACCCAATGGCACCACCCTGAGGGTCAAGTCATTAACACATGGGCCTTTGGAGAACATTCAACATCCAAACTATAGTGATGGTTAATAGTAGCCTCATCTGACATAAAAATATTAAGGCAGAATACAGTGAAGACCGAATGACTTCTAAGGTGTACCCTCCCCTTTCAAACACGGTTTAAAAAGCTAATGTTAAATGAATTGGAATCCTCCACCATTGTCTTATTTTTTTTTTAAATACCTGATCAGAGTTGTCCTTCCTGGTTCCCTGGCATTTGGAATTACCTAATTAAATTGGACATTTATCTTTTTAATGGAACTTAACACTCCAAATTTATTTATTAAGTTGTATGCTTAAAGAAGGGAGGAAATACTTCTAGAAATAACAGAAGCATATTCTGTAAACATTCACTGGAAGTCATCTGAAGTGATGAGCTGTGACCTGTCTTTGAAGAGTAAAAATAATGGGTAAAGGGCATAAAGTCCAAGCTGAGAGGTAGACCCAAACTGCAGATGTGACAGGAAAGAGAAAGGGGGGAGGAGAAAATGGTGGTTTTGGAGGCTGTTGAGTCTGATTAGATGCAAGTAAACCATGCCAGGATTGGCAGGCTTCTTAGTCCCTTAGAAAAAAGAAAATGCAGTGTACTTAAAATACAGATTGATATGATTCAAGCAGGCCAAAGTTTTCCCTGGAACATTAATTCAATACAGATTTAATCTGGTGTCTATCTCATAGACACCAGAAAGTGATTTTTTTTTCTTTTTTAATTAAAAAAATTATTTTTTGAATTCCAGTGGTTTTAAAAGATTGGAAATTCATTGGTCAGTGTTCGAATGGTCTTGATATAAGTGATGAAATAAGCAACAGAATGATTTTCCCCTCTCCAAATGCACCTCCAATTTTAACTTCCATTTTTTTAATGAAAAACATTTGCTTATTGGAACTTAAATTTTCTGTAGGTCACTCAAAATTTCTATCAGTTGGTGCCACTTGACATCTGAGTGAATTATTCTTGCTTCAATCATAAATTCTCATCACTCTGCACTGCTTTTAACATTTACATGCTCTTTTAAGAAAAAAAATAGTTCAAAGCCAGCCTCAGCAAAAGCAAGGCACTAAGCAACTTAGTGAGACCCTGTTTCTAAATAAGACACAAAATAGGGCTAGGGATGTGGCTCAGTGGTCCAGTGCCCCTGAGTTCAATACCTGGTGAGAGAGAGAGAGAGAGAGAGAGAGAGAGAGAGAGAGAGAGAGAGAGAAGGAGGTAGAGAGGAGAGAGGGAGGGAGGGAGGAGGGAAGGAAATAAATAGTTTAAAGTTCAAACAAATAACTCCAATGTATTTATATTTGTTTAACTTTTTGTTAGAAAAAAGTACACAGATTCAGGTTTTAACTGACATTACATTCCTCTACTAACAACATTAAACGTAACACTTCAATTTGCTGTAGTCCGGCTGGGTTAAATAACCGAAAGGTGACAAGCAACTTGAAGGTTGAATCCGGAACTACTTTATTGCAAGTGAACTCAGCAGGAACTGAGAACTCAAAGTAGCGGGCACCCAAGGTAGCAGGAGCCGCCTCTCTGCCAGACTGCAGAGGTACATATACCCAACTAATTACACACAGCTTAACTTAATTGACATCATCTAGACACAGTAGTCAGTCATTAAGGAATCCTCATCATCTTAATGGCTCATTGGCGTTGGCTCAGAAACCACTCCTCCTAGCGTACTGCCAGGCGCCATCTTAACTTGGTTGTGACCCTCATCATCAATTGTTTAAAATAATATATAATTTCCATTTTTAAAGCAATTCTTTAGTAGATAAAATCTCTGTAAAAGTCAGTTAGGATTTGGATCTTAAATGAATGTCCCCCAAAGGCCATCTGTTAAAGACTTAGATTCCAGCCTGTGACACTATTTTGGAAAATGGGACCTAGTAGAAGTTAGGTCATGGAGGATTGCCCCTGAAATATTAGGGCTCCAGCTCCTCTCTCTCTACTTCCTTGTAGATACAAGGTGAATGACTTTGCTCTGCCTTGTGCTCCCCACCATAATGTTCTGACTCACCACAGGCTTGAGCAATGGGGCCAAAGGACTATGAACTGAAACCTCTGAAACCATAAGCCAAAATAAACCATTCTTCTTTTTATGTTATTTATCTCAGGTATTTTATCATAGCAACAGAGAACTAACGAACACAGAGTCAGTCATGAAATATTCACTTATTCATAAAAACAAGGCACATTGTGGCCCTTCAACAGCATGTCAAGATAAGTTGTCCAAGTGATTCACATTCTACTCTTACTGCTGCTCTTCCTCAACATTTGAGATAACAGTCATCCTGAATCTTTTTAAAAGTTAAACTTTATTACCTATAATATTTTAATCCACTAGACAATTTAAAGAAAACTTCTAGAAGCCAGCTTGCATTTCTTCTGCTTTGCTTCCAGTGCTTTGGTTATTCAGATGAGGCTGACTCAGCAACCATCACCCTCAGTGTGGGCTATTTACAACTTCATGCATTTCTTTGAATTACCCGGAGGGGAAAAATTGAAATTGTGAACTATATTAATACCCTGACTGAAAGTGAGGACTCAGAGTTTGGAAAATTTGAAATTAAATTAAAATATGATAACACATGGGGGCACTCTAGGAAATAAAACATACTTAATAGTGTAAAGTAAATAAATTGCATATTGATACTTTGGAGGAAGAATCCTTCTCTTGGCATTTGGGCCGTTGATTCCGTGAATTCTGGCTCTTCTTTTCAGTAAGGGCTCATGAATGTTGAAGTGTGGAAATCATGACAGAAGTTGATGTAGCTGAGTGGGTCATGCTTCTTGCTTGTGCTGGGAAAATTCTCTCTCTATGAGTGGAGATGATAATGATTTCCTCACAGGGATACTATAAGGATTAAATTAAGCTGTAGGAAGATGCTAGTCATCTTTTTGTTGTTGTTTTGGTATTTTTTCTTCTGTCCCAAATCCTTACTTGGATTCTGTAATGTTAACTGGGCATAAGTTCTCATCAGAGCAGGCAGTGTACATAACAATGTTATGATGGAATGAAATGTTTGCAGTCTTGAAGGCCCCACCATCTGTTCCTTCTCTTCAAATCAGGTAAGAACTACACTTTCCAAGGTAATGGTCTTCCCCACAATGTGGAATTAAATGACACTGTCACTGGCAACTTTGGCACAGGGCCCAACATATAATATTTTATGATAATGAAAAGATGGAAACAAATCTCTCATTCTTATTTCATTACTTAGGGGCACCCTTATACTTGAGATGAAGTTCATTGGAATGGACACCACCTAAGTAGCCTTTGAACAGCAATGTGGAATTTCCTTACCTCTCCTCTGATTCCAAGGTAGCTCTGAAGGGAATAGAAGTAGCAAAGCCCTAGACCAGGTCAAGTTTTCACAGAAAATATCTACCTCCCAATGCAGGTTTTATCTTTGTGAACTCACCCCAGTCCCACAGTTGGGCCTCAGCCATAGACGCTCAGGATCTCTTTTCAATAATATAATAAGAGGTTCCTATTCCCAGAGTGGGAGTAGTAACCAAGATGAAAGAGACCGATGCCTATGTTATGAAGCCACTTTAAAAATCACGTTTGCTGAACTGTGATGCCCATATGGATTACAATAGGCATGTTGAAATGACCGGTTATTTCTAGGAAAAAAAAAAAGATACAGGGAGCCAAATTATAATCAAAATTTTGTTTGCTAATCCTCAACAATTAGGAGCAGGATGTGACTCAAGTGTTGAATGTCATCAGCCTGTGTTGCCCTTTTCTCAAGCTAAACTTCTCCAGCACTGCCAAGTAGGAGCTTGTGATGTCTTCACTGAGTGCTGAAGCATTGTATAGATAGCAGGATTAGTGTGTGTGTATGTGTGTGTGTGTGTGGGGGGGGTCTTGGAGATCACACCCAAGGACCTCATACATGCTAGATAAGTCCTCTACCGCGGAGCTACATTCCCAGCCCAGGTGAATGTTTTTGAACTATATTAATATTCTCTGTTACCTCTCTGTGGATAAGAGTTTTTGTCTATTCTACAAGAGATGTCCACTTATTGTAGAAAGCATTAGGATCATTACAGTAGGAATACAAAGAAAGAATATTCTGTCTTTCACAAACAAAATCTGTGGTTCATGATATAAACAAACATGGTTCATAATGAAGCCTGCTCCATGGGAAGAAGGGAAACCCATCCATTCTGGTTGCTGGGAACTATAGGAAGGACAAGAGAGATAAAGTATAGGAATCAAGGGGTCGGGACCTTGCATCCCAGATAGACCCCCTTTCTAGAAGCTATAATCCAGGAGGGGCCATTGAGATCGACTGAAGGGAAAGTTAGGAGCAGAGGACACGCTGAGACCCTGGGAGAACACTGTCTTCCAGGATGGCTCTTTGCTCACACAGATCAGGGGGCAGCAGAGTAAAATTGGCAACATATTCAGGTACAGAGGTACAGGGAAGTGCTCCATCCTTGTTTGGCTCTTGCAAAGGCCCGAAGACATCCTGGAATCCCAGTCGGCTCACTTGAGGACACAGATCACCAGTGGGCCCACCACGGGGACCATTGCTG